CTTCAAACTATCTGCAGGAGAAATGGCAGGAGATGAGATCGCCCAGAGATGGGAGCACAGAAAATCAGCGATCAGGATTTCTCCTACAGGTGGACCATCAGCAACTTCCCTTTTTTGCTGAGGAAATGCAGCAAAGCATTAGAAGCCCCACTTTCTCAATAGGAGCCAATGACAAATGGTGTTTGAGAGTACACCCGAACAGAGTCGATGAAGAAAGTGCAGATTACCTGTCAGTTTACCTAGTGATGCTCAGCTCTCTAAAGAGTCCTGTTTGGGCAAAGTTCCAGTTCTGAATCATAAGTGCAGAAGGAGAGAATACACAAGTCAAGAAGAGCCCAAGAGCATTTAGGTTAGTGCCAGGACAAGACTGGGGTTACAAAAAGTTTATTCTTCAAGATTTTCTCTTGTCCCATGCATTTTGGCTTCTCCCAGATGACCAGATCACCCTTGTCTGCAAGGTGAGCGTGGCCCCGGTCTCTTTGAGCCTCTCTGACCAGAACAAGAAGCCAGGAATTCTGGTTCCCAGATGCACATTGGCAGAGGAGCTAGGAGAGCTGTGAGAGAATTCCTAGTTGACAGACTGCTGCCTAGTGGTAGCTGGCCTGGAATTCTGGGCTCATAAGGCCATCTTAGCAGCTCGCTCTCCAGTTTTCAGAGCCATGTTTCAACAAGACATGGAGGATAGCAGAAAGAATCGTGTTGAGATCCCTGACCTGGAGCCACAAGTCTTCAAGGTAATGATGGACTTCATTTACACAGGAACAGCCCCAGACCTCAATAGCATGGCAGCTGCCTTGCTGGCAGCTGCTGACAAGTATGGCTTGGAGCGTTTGAAGGTCATGTGTGAGGATGCCCTCTTCAGGGACCTCTCTGTGGAGAATGCTGCCCACACTCTCTTCCTGGCTGACCACCACAGCTCAGGGCAGGTGAAAACCCAGACACTGGATTTCATTACAGCTCATGCTTCTGAGGTCTCTGAGACCTCAGACTGGAAGACAATGGTGGGCTCATGTCCCCACTTAGTGTTTGAAGTTTATGGTTTCAGGCCTGCTCACTGCCCTTTCCTGGAGTACCCTATTAAATGCTTGAAGTTTTCCTAGGACCTGGCAAACCTTGTCCTACACTTGTCTCCCAGATGCAGTACTCATGGTGTTACCAATACCTGGCTACTATGGGATGTGTGGAAAATTTCCAGTGGATCTATGGAATAACAGCATTGTGGCTGAGGCTTTAAACAGATGTAAAGGAGTCAATGTCAGGTTGAGGTACAGGGAGCCTTGGACTCTGGTACCATCTACATAGCCTCTACCCTGTTGTTATACTGGGTTGATTTTTGTCTAAGGATTTAGAATCTGAAATTCATTTTAACTGCTGGCACCAAGCACATTACCACAGGATTTCTTTGGAGAAACCTCTCTGCATTGGATAGAGCAGAAGATATGATCAGGGACTCAGAAAGGAGAAAACAAATATGAATGTTTGATTACAAGAGAAGCAGAGATAATGAAGAAAGTTTTTCTCCAAACTCAGTGTTTAGGTCTGGGGAGATGACTCACTTGGCAAAAGCAATTGTTGATCTTGCACAGGTCCTTTTATTTAGTCCTCCTCTTGTCTCCATGGGCACATCTATCTCTAATAAATTAATTACCAAAATAAAATATCCAATGAATAAAAATTGTAAAATCAGCTTATGGATTCCCGTGATGTTTTTATTTGAAAACGGCCATTTTAGTCCATCCAGCTGTGCTCAGCTGAAAAAGTTGGTGCAGTGTCTTCACTGCCCCCCCCCACACACCCATACACACTCTCACACACACAATCAATGAGTCCATACCTAATGAATTCTGTTACACTGGGATATTGGTGCTTAGTGAAATGGACATCAGGTGGGATTTCTCCAACAGCTGTTGGGAGCAGATACTGAGATTCATAGCCAAACAATGAGCAGAACTCAGTGAACCTCAAGGCAGAGGGAAAGGCTGGCTTGTAGGAGGCATCAAAGACACAAGGGGTACAGAGCTCACAGAGTCAACTAAACAGTGTTTATAGAGGCTCATAGACACTGAAGAGGCCATCACAAGGCCTGCATGGGTCTGTACTAAGTCCTCTATGTATTTAATGTGCTTGTTCAGCTCAGGGGGTTTGTGGAAGTCCTAATGGCAGGAGTGTGGGGAGTCTCTGAACTGTTTGTCGGATATTGGCTCCTTCTGAGTTGACTTCTCCAGCCTTGATATGAGGGTTTGTGCCTACTCTTATTACATTTTGTTATCCTGTGTTCATTTGATATCCCCAGGAGACCTTTTCTTTTCTGAAGGGAAACAGAGTAATATATGTATGTGGAGTGCAGTGAGGGGAGACTGTGGTCAGATGGGACGGTATGAGAAAAAATAAAATTGAAAAAGAAAACTAGAAATATGGAAATACATTTCAGGAAGTAGTATTTACACAGATCTGCAAAGGAGCAGCTAATGTAAAGTTCTTTTGTACCCTGTAAATGCTCATAAAAATTGCCTTCATCTGAGGAGTTTAATAATCAAGTAAATGGGATGACCCACTTAATGTAAAGTCAGACTCTGTAACAAGCTATCCTCATTATTACCCAATGGGCCCATGTTCAAAGTACCTGTGGTAGCTGATATAGTGGTTATGCATGGAATCACAACATGGATATCCACTCATCAAGAGTGACCTAGTTATAGCTGCTGGACACCAGCTGCTGAATGCCACATCTGCCAATAACAGAGACCAACACAGAGCCCCAGATATGTCACCATTCTCCAGGCTGACCAGCCAACAAAGTTATGAAACGATGACTACATTGGGCTACTTCCTCTGTGGAATGGACACCACTTTGTCCTTCCTGGAGTAGATACTTATTCTAGTTACATATTTGCATTTCCTGCCTGTAATGATTTTACCAAAACTACCACACAGGGACAAACAGAATGCCTTGTCAACTCTCATGGTAATGAAAGACCCCCACAGGAGATCTTCCCTCAGGAGAGACCCCTAACCCAAGGAGCACGCCGAAACCATGGATCAGATGCAAACAGCAAGAGGGTTTATTTAGATACACAGGTACCTGGGGCACTGAAGTCTCTCGGAGGACTTGCACGCCTTCCTAGGGTAAGGGGAACTTTTTATAGGATCCCGGGGGCAGAGGCGCGGTTACAGAAGCGAGAAGCATAGTTTCAGGGTTCCCATTGGTTGTTTCAAAGAAGACCAGGGTGAACTTGGGGACATATTTTTAATTCTCGGAAATTTGATGTGTGTGGCTGACTTGGCCTTGCCTAGGGTACAGTGGGTGTTTTCCTAGCCCAACTGTTTATTCCCCAAGGCCAGGTGGCCAACCACAGATATCCTGTTTTGACTCAATGGTTTCTCTCCCAAGGCTGGGTGGCCAACCACAGTTATGAACTCCCAAGGCCAGGTGGCCGACCACAGTTATGAACTCCTGTTTTTCTGGTACTTGCCTTGCAGAATGGCGTTTCTTAGGCTAAGTTATTGGGACCGGGGGGGGGGGGGCATTTCATTCCCCCATTTTCTTTTGTTCTAAATGGAATCTTTCATTTTAGGATGGAGAATAAGGGGTCAGCTCCATCTCTGACTGTCTGAGCCTCTGATATTGCTGGGTTAGGACCAAAGCCTGGACAACAGAAACCCTATCCTTGACGAATTGTACCAATCTGTTGAAGATGCATGGCCCAAACAATAAAATGAGAAGGAGGATGATTAGGGGGCCCATAATGGTGGAGACAAGGGTGGCATACCATGGTGACCTTTGAAACCATCCTTCAAACCATCCCTGTTGAGACTTGAATAATTGTTGTCTCTCTTTTAATCTTTCTCTCAATTTAGCCATGTTATCCCTGACTACTCTAGTATGATCTGCATAGAAGCAGCATTCTTCCTTGAGGGCTGCACAGACCCCCCCTTCCTGTAGGAAGAGGATGTCTAATCCCCTTCTATTTTGTAATATGACCTCGGATAAGGAGGTGAGGGACTTTTCTAGGGCACTTACAGACTCTTCAAATGCCTTGATGTCCTCATGCATGGGTGACTGGAGTTGTTTAAACTGAGAGGTCTCTAGGAGAGTGGCGGTCCTGGTCCCGATTCCTGCTGCCAACCCTCCCATAGTGACTCCCCCGAGCAATAAGGCCAGGGTTAAGGAGATGGGCTCCCTTCGCTACCGGGACCTCTGTTCAACATAGTTAAGGATGTATTCAGATGTATGGTAAGTTACCCTGGGCCATAGTTCAACCAAAACACAGTAATCTGAGGTGATGTCTAGTACAGCCCTTGAGATGCAAGGGGTTAATCCTGTGCTACAAGCCCAGTAGGTTCCATAGGGGGCAGCTAAATAATAAGTTCCCTCCGTCGGCTGATGAATTTGATTGCATAAGGCTAGATGGGTCGTGCGGACATTTCCAACACAGAACCCTTGGCCAGATACCTCGGACAGGGTTAGTTTATGCATGGGGGTAGAGAGGCATCGCCCTTGCGGGGATGTCTGGCTCATATAATTACCTGTTACCACAATTCCCTCATAATATGGAGGGCTGGAAATCAGGCAGAGCCAACAGCCCTGGGTCTTCTCTGGTGCGGTGGTATTGAGGGCTAAGTAGGCCCCCTGTATCAAGTCAAGTAGTCTATCCCCTGTTCCTAGTATTGTAGGAGGTGTAATTAATCCTGGGGTGTGGGTAGGGACTCTTGCTGCACCCATACCTGGGGACTTATGTTCTTTGAGGACTTGGTTGGGACCTACTGCTGCTGTCTGGATTTCCGAGACCTGAAGCCGGATCATGAATGTTAATCCCCTGTTATAGTCTTTTTCATATAATCTTAGTCCCCAGACCCTCCCCCTTGTCCATTCAGGGAAGCTTTTTCCTGTTTCAGTAAAGGTAATTTTCAGGGGCAAGGACAACCCGGCTTGGTAATGATTCTGGCCCGTTGTGGGTGTCAATCCGGCCTCGGGAGGACAATAAAACCATCCCCCTGGCGCCTTAGGGAACCCTCGCTCCAGTTTGATCAGGTCCCAGCTGGACTTGGGGTTCCACCAAGCAGATCCAGTGGTCTCCCACCCCCAACTAGTACAGAAGAAGTCTCTGGCTCCCCCACATTTTCTGGCCAACTTTCGGTCCCTACCGTCCCCAGGGCAGACATAGAAATCATGTTGGGCCCAACGGCATCTTGCCAGAGGGGTCCTGCACCTTGGGTGCTGGACTGTCCCAGGATGGGTAGTCTTATTTAGGTCACTTATCGCCACATCTCTCACCCCCCAGGAATCATCCGCTCCGGTTGCTAGATGGCAGAAATCGGGGGTTAAAGTGGGCCACCATGTCCCTAGGGCATGGTTAGCAGTCGTGGACCAGACTACGTCCCCAGTCTGGGAAATGACCTGCCAGGTAATTTTCTTAACAAGTTGGGGGCTCTCTGGTGATGCCCCTCCTAATGTCAGGAGGACTATTAGAGGGATTAAGGGGGTCCACGGGTGAGTTTTATCTTTAGTGGGTTTGGAGAGTGTTGAACCTTCCATGTAGATGTCTCGGTGTTCTCAGCTTCATCGGGTTCTCTGGCGGCCTTCACATGCGACGCGTGGCCCCAAGCTGCTATCCCGTCAACCTTGAGTGCAGTGGGAGTTGTTAACAAGATGGTGTACGGTCCTTTCCACCTCGGTTCTAGGTTCTTGGATTGATGGCGTCGGACCCAGACAGAGTCCCCAATCTTGAATGGGTGAGGCACCACCGGGCGATTCAGTTGCTCCCGGTAGGCATCAGCCAGGGGTTTCCACACCGTCTTTTGTACCAGTTGGAGGGCTTGGAGGTGCGCCTTCAGGGTAGGGCTAGTGGCAAAAGAGGAGATATCAGGGTGAAGGAAATTTACAATTGGTGGGGGAGCCCCATATATAATCTCAAACGGGGTTAGGCCGTGAGGCCCAGGAGTATTCCGGGCTCGGTAAAGGGCTAGTGGGAGTAGGAGCACCCAATCTCTAGTGCCAGTTGCAAGCATTAATTTGGTTAAAGTCTCCTTAATGGTTCTATTTATGCGTTCTACCTGTCCTGAGCTCTGGGGGCGGTATGCACAATGGAGTTTCCAATTGATCCCCAGTAGCCTGGCCACCTTCTGACTTACCTGGGAGATGAAGGCGGGCCCATTGTCTGACCCCAATATCTGGGGCATTCCATACCTGGGAAAGATGTCATCTAGGAGTTTCTTGGTTACCACGTTAGAGGTCTCCTTCTTGGTAGGGAAGGCCTCGGTCCATTCTGAAAAAGTGTCTACAAAAACCAGAAGGTATCTGTATCCATACAGTCCGGGTTTTACCTCGGTGAAGTCAAGTTCCCAATGGACTCCGGGGCGGTGGCCTCGCAGGCAGCTCCCTCTGCCCAGATGGGCTTTTCCTGGATTAACTTGGGCACAAGCAGGGCAGCTGGAAGTCACCTGTTGGAGGACCTGTTCCTGATTCAATAATACAGTGTCCGAAGCCTCATCAGCCAGAATGGCCCTCATCTTGTTTTTGCTTAAATGGGTTAGCGCGTGAAGGAACTTGAGCAAGTATTTGGTGTGGGAGGTTGGCATAACTAATTTGTCATCCATGATGTAAGCTTGTCACTCGGGGCTCCATTTGGCCCCCATTTTCTTTGCTAGTTCCTGATCCTCCGGGCTGTAGGGCATGGGGTCCTTGCTTGGCTGTTGGTCCTGCAAGACCAGCAGCTGGTCGCCCCTAGGGAGTTGTAAGGCCACTGTCCGGGCTGTCAGATCAGTCAGCCGATTTCCCCGCATTACGACAGAGTCATCCTTTTGGTGCCCGGGACAATGTATAATGCTGAGCTGATGTGGGAGGAACAATGCCCTTAAGAGGTCTAAAATTTCCTTTTTGTTCTTAATTTCCTTACCCTCCGAGGTCAAGAGGCCTCTTCTTCTGTAGATTTCTCCATGTACATGGGCAGTGGTGAAGGCATATCTGCTATCGGTATAGACCATGAGTCTCTTACCTTCCGCCATCCGGAGGGCCTGGGTCAGCGCAATCAGCTCTGCCTTTTGGGCCAATGTTCCAGGCGGCAGTGGTGAGGCCCAAACTACCTCTGGTGGTGATGGCTGCTCCAGCCCTCCGTTCTCCTTCTTGGAGGAAGCTGCTCCCATCTGTGAACCAGATGAAATCTGGGTTCGACAGCGGTTGATCTGTTAGGTCGGAGCGGGTGCCATGGGCCTCCGCCAGAATCTGGAGGCAATTGTGCTCCTTGGATGGGTCTGGCAAGGGCAGCAGGGTTGCGGGGTTGAGGGAGACAACTGGTCCAAACACCACTCGGTCTGTGTCTAACAACAGAGCCTGGTAGTGGGTCATCCTGGAATTTGAGAGCCATCTATCTGGGGGCTGCCGGACCAGAGCTTCCACCACATGGGAGGATAACACAGTTAATGGCTGTCCCAAAGTCAGTTTCCCTGCGTCCTTGAGCAAGACAGCAATGGCGGCTACCATGCACAGACAGGGGGGCCAACCTGCAGCTACCGGGTCTAATTTCTTGGATAAATAAGCTACAGGTCTCTTCCATGGCCCCAGTCTCTGTACCAGCACTCCTTTTGCAAAGCCTGAGTTCTCATCCACGAACAGTTCAAAAGGCTTAGTCAGATCTGGTAGGCCAAGAGCTGGTGACTCAAGTAAGGTTCTCTTAATTCGTTGAATGGCCTGTTGTTGCTCCTCTCCCCAGTGGAACATGGCTCCGGGCTTGGTGAGAAGATACAGAGGGGCAGCCATCTCAGCAAAACCTGGGATCCAGAGGCGGCAGTAGCCGGCAGTACCTAGGAACTCCCGCACCTGGCGGGGGTTCCTTGGAGAAGGTATGGAGATTATGGCCTCCTTCCTTGCTTTCGTGAGCCATCTCTGTCCTCCCTCTAGGGTGTAACCCAGGTAGATGACTTTGCTTTGGCAAATCTGGGCCTTCTTGGCCAAAGCCCGATAGCCCTTCTGTCCCAGTTTAGCCAAAAGGGCCTGAGTGCCTCTTAAACATTCAGCCTGGGTTCTGGCCGCTAGGAGGAGGTCATCCACATATTGGAGCAAGATTAAGGCTGGATGTTCGACCCGGAACTTGGCCAGGTCTGAGTGTAGGGCTTCATCAAAGAGGGTCGGGCTGTTTTTTAACCCCTGGGGGAGCCAAGTCCAGGTTAACTGTCCTGAAAGTCCCATCTCTGGGTCTCTCCATTCAAAAGCAAACAGCAGTTGGCTCTGGGGATGCAATCTCAAACAGAAGAAGGCATCCTTTAAGTCCAGTATCGTATACCAAATGTGGGTTGGTGGAAGAGTGCTGAGGAGGTTGTAAGGGTTTGGCACCGTGGGGTGTATATCTTCAACCCGTTTATTAACCTCCCTCAGATCTTGAACCGGTCTGTAATCCACTGTCCCAGGTTTTTTTACAGGCAGGAGGGGGGTATTCCAAGGAGATCGACAGGGCACAAGTACCCCCTGGTCCGGGAGTCTCCGGATGTGTGGTTTAATGCCCTCGTGGGCTTCCCGGGACATGGGATACTGTTTGATTGAAACAGGAGTGGCGGAGGCTTTTAACTGAATAACAAGTGGGGGTTGGTTGTGAGCCAGCCCCAAGCCGCCAGTCTCTGCCCATGCCGAGGGAAATTCTCTCAACCAGTCCTGCATCCCTTGTGGTGGCCCCTTAGAGGGCTCAGATTCAAACAGGTGGTATTCCTCTTTCAATTTTAGGGCTAGGACTTGTAGGGGTGTCCCTTTGGGTCCTGTAATGGTCAACCCCTTGTCATCAAAATAGATCTGAGCCTTGAGCTTAGTCAACAGGTCTCGGCCAAATAATGGGTGAGGGCAATCAGGTATATGCAAAAAAGAGTGGGTTACCTGTCCAGATGCCAGCTGAACCTTTCTCTCGGTGGTCCATCGATACCTCCTGCTAACTGTGGCCCCCTGGACCAAAGCTGTGCGGTCACTGAGAGAGCCTCCGGTATGGGTCAGGACTGAATGTTGAGCCCCGGTGTCCACTAGGAAGGTCACTGGCTGCCCCCCGATCTTGAGAGTTATCCTAGGCTGGGGGGGGGGCTCCTGGCCTTGACCTCCCTAATCCTCCAGATTGAGGAGGTCCGTGGCCCTTGGCTTAGTTCTCCGAGACCCTTGAGGCTTCTTTGGGCAGTCATGAGCCCAATGTCCTCTCGCTTTGCAGTAGGCGCACTGGTCTTTGTCGAGGGGTGCCCTTCTTTGATCTCCCGCCCTAACTCCCTCTCTGACCTGTCCCTGAGACACTACAGCGGCCAGGACTTTACTTATTTCTCTATGACGTTTCTTATCTCTTGCTTCCTGTTTCTGCCACACCCTCTCCTCCCACTCTTCGGGAGTTTCTCTCTTATTAAAAACTTTCTCTGCCTCTCTTAATAAATCTGACAAACTGAATGAGTGCAGTCCCTCTAGTCTCTGTAACTTGGCCCATATATCTGGACTTGACTGATAGATGAAAGACAAGATGACGCTCGGCGCCTGTCCTGGATCTTCCGGATCGTACGGGGTATACATCCTATAGGCCTCTTTGAGTCTTTCCACGAATGCTGCCGGCGTCTCATCCTTTCCCTGGACCACATTTCTAACCTGAGCCAAATTGGTAGGGCGCCTAGCAGCCCCCCGGAGACCCGCTAAGAGCAACTGGCAAAAGAGACGTAGGTGCTCCCTACCTTCTGGGGTCATGAAGTCCCAGTTCGGGCGGGTGAGGGGAAAGGCTGCATCAATGACATTAGGCAATTGGGTGGGTCTTCCATCGTCTCCAGGAACCTGCTTCCGAGCCTCCAAGAAGACTCGCTGCTTCTCCTCCACTGTCAGGAGGGTCTGCAGTAACTGCTGACAGTCGTCCCACGTGGGCTGGTGGGTCACTAAAATGGACTCAATCAGGTTAGTCAAGGTAACAGGGTCCTTAGAGAAAGGAGGATTATGATGCTTCCAGTTGTAAAGATCAGAGGCCGAAAACGGCCAGTATTGGAGCTGGTGATTGGGGCCCTCCCGAAGGGGGAAGGCCCTGGATTCTTTGGCTGGTTCGTCGTGCCTTCCTCGTAGACGATCGGCAATTGGGGAGGGGGCCGGAGCCTCATCCTCCCTCTGTCTCTGTAGAGGCTGTTCGGGGGCTGCCGGGGTGTTCGCCAGTCACTCTGGTCCCGCCGCGGGGGCCGCCGGTCCCTCCGGTCCCCGATTCCCCGGGTATGGCGGTGGGTCCTCTGTCAGGAGGTCAATAAGAGGTGAATTGGGGTCCGGGGGAAGGACAGGGGTCTTAGGGGGATCCTTTCGTGGGAGAACAGGGTAAAGGGAGGAGGTAGGAGGGGCGAGAGGGGGCGGCGGTGCCGTCGGGGGGCAGGCCTGGGGCGCTGGAGGGGAGAGAAACGGCCTAACCCATGGGGGGGGTTCGGTCGCCAGGAGTCTCCATATGGCGATGTATGGGACCTGGTCCGGGTGGCCATGGGGACTCAGAGTGAAGACTTCCCTCCACCTGTGAAATAAGACTGAGGTTAAAGGTTCCCTTGCGAGGCCATCCTACATCCATCATGACCCATTCGGCCTCGCAAAGGGTGATCCATTTATTCTTCTTGACTACAACTCCCTCGTTGTTGGCTCGTGCCTTCACGTCTGACCAGTGGTTAAGCGTGAGGCTCAGGAGGGTGGTGACAGTCTGTCCCATGGCTGTTTCTAGGAGGAGAACGGTTAGACAGAAAATGAAGAACAACAGACAAACGCAAATAAGACTAACACGCGCTGTGAGGCTTCGGTTCCAAACCGAAAGCAAAAACTCAGAAGGAGACTGCGAGGGTCCAGATCCCTCGTCTCCGACCAACACCACGTATCCCTCGGATACATGAGTGGCCCTGAAAAACCGTGCCCCTGAGGGGACTTCAGACACCCGTGAAACGTCTTCCAGGGTTACGGTGGGCGAAGTCCGAGCTCGTCAGCTCCTTCAGCCCCCACCGCCACAGACAGATTATCAGATGCATGCAGACAGACAGACAACACTCAGACAGGACAGGGATGACATATACCGAGGCCGGCCGGCTTACCTCGTGATGGTGGGTTGGTGGTCCCAGGGAGGGGTCTCTATCCCGGACGAGCCCCCAAATGAAAGACCCCCACAGGAGATCATCCCTCAGGAGAGACCCCTAACCCAAGGAACACGCCGAAACCACGGATCAGATGCAAACAGCAAGAGGGTTTATTTAGATACACAGGTACCTGGGGCACTGAAGTCTCTCGGAGGACTTGCACGCCTTCCTAGAGTAAGGAGAACTTTTTATAGTATCCCGGGGGCAGAGGCGCGGTTACAGAAACGAGAAGCATAGTTACAGGGTTCCCATTGGTTGTTTCAAAGAAGACCAGGGTGAACTTGGGGACATATTTTTAATTCTCGGAAATTTGATGTGTGTGGCTGACTTGGCCTTGCCTAGGGTACAGTGGGTGTTTTCCTAGCCCAACTGTTTATTCCCCAAGGCCAGGTGGCCAACCACAGATATCCTGTTTTGACTCAATGGTTTCTCTCCCAAGGCCGGGTGGCCAACCACAGTTATGAACTCCCAAGGCCAGG